TCTCCTTATTATATGTCAATAACCTGGACAATTAAAAATTCTGAAAAGTTGTATGTAGGTTCTAGGGTATGCAGGAGAAAGCCAACTTCTAGAAATTTTCTAATACAAACAGGAAGGTGAATATACCAGGATGTAACTGTACCAGTGGTACGTGTAAGAACAAGAACTTTCTAGACCACATCTGGGGGATGAAGATCTCTGAACCAACCACACAGACAATACTATCCTAACACAGTTTAAAGGGGGAAGAAAAAGAGAAAGCATCTATTTTTGACTGTGAAATGTTTTCATCATTTGTCAAAAAAGGAAAGTTTCTATACAATATTCCTAGAATGCACTATATTAATATTTTAAAAATGTATAACTTTTTAAAATGTACTTACCTTAGACTATATAACACACATAACTAAGGAGACAGTGACTGTGAACAGACCTGGCATTTACGCAGAGCAAGCAACTGTCTCTGTGGTGTGGACTTTCCCAAAATACTCTCCATGTGGGCCTGTCCCTGATGCCTGACATTCCTTTGCAGCTGGTGCCAGTCAGAAATGCAAATAAATTGATAGCCCACACTATCATAATTATAGACATTTTATTACACACTTCTCTTCAAGGTCTCTGAATTCTTATAATACATAGCCAGAACATGTTTCAAGAATATGACAACATAGTTAGAATACGTTGAAAGGGGACTTAGGGAAAGTAGAGGACAGAATACAGATAAGGATGTAAACGTCTTGGTTGGGAGGCAGGAAAAAAGGACAGAGCATAACAGTTGGGTGAAAGAGGAAAGTGCTGCAGAAGAGCAGCAAGGAGGCCCAAAGATGTCTTGGTAGGCAAAGATGGATAAATCTTTCCTATTCTGCATTCTTTTATTCCAGAGCTACATAAAAAGAATTTTGAAGCTAAATGTGGTAGAGTGTATAACTATGATCTCAGCACTCTGGGAGACTGGCTGAGGCAGGAGGACCCTGAGTTAAGAGCTAGCTTGGACTACAGAACAAGCCCCTGTCTCAAAAAAACAAAACAAACAAACAAAGGGAACTTCGAAAACGTAAGGTTTATTTTTATCTTTAAATCCGCTCCCCCTTGGGGGGTACTGGGGATTGAACCAGGGCCCTTCACACCGAGCTACACCTCTAGCCCTTTTTATTTTATTTTTGACACAGGGTCTTGCTAAGTTGCCACACTGCCTGCACTGAGCAAGAACATGGGATTCTCTTGCCTCAGCCTCTCTTGCGTGCTGAGATTACAGGCATGTCCCACCACGCCTGGCTGTCCTTCAATTTCAATTAATATATACTTATTACAAAAAAACTGATAATACTATGAAGTAGAGAAAGATTCAAATCATCCCTAATATCCTTCACCTTGTAACAGCACTGGTAACATGTAGGGGCAGGGTTGACTTTCAAGTTTCATAGGTGAGCAAAAAAAATTATATATATATAAATACATACAACAAAATATATATTATTGTAGTTCTGTAATAATTTTTATGGAAAATTATACCATGATCATTTTCCCATGCCACTTAATATTCTTCATGGTTTACAGCAACACAATGAAAACTGGGTGATCTCTCAATTTTTATTTTTTTTCAGGGGGAGGGGTTTTTTGAGACAGGGTCTTACTATGTAGTTCAAGCTGGCCTTGTACTCACTATGTAGCCCAGAATGGCTTCTAACTCATGGAATCCTCCTGCTCCAGCCTACCGAGTGCTGGGATTATAGGTGTAGGCCACCACACTACACTTTCATTTTCATTATTATAGTAGACAATTCTAATTTTAAACCTGCTCCAGCAAATTAAGGAAAATCACTTGAAACTCCCCTCTTCTGTACAAGCATGTACCAGTCTTTGAATGAAATCAATAGTTTCATTGAATTCAAGGGCCTAAAAGATTTTCATAATTCATCCACAACATTTAAATGGAAAAGTAAACAAACACATGCTAAAATCAAAAAGGTCTCAGTGTTAGGCCTGTTTAACAGCACTGCAATATAGTACTGCAAAAGGTAGAAACATGTCATAGAGCTCCTAATGGATGAGTAGTTTGATTTTGAATGCTATACCTTCAGCTAGATTTTAGGAATTCTGGCTCCTTTTGGCCTAGGAGTCAAATTGGCCCTTCGCCTTATTTCACTCAGGTGGTCTTTGGAATTTGTTTAAAAAAAGATGCAGTGTCTACTTCCCCATTCTTTACAGACACCAAATAAATACATTAATTATTGGGCAGAGGTCTCCAGTGATAAGGCTTGAGAGACTGTCTTAGCTGGAGACCACTGAGAGGAGCAGTCCTCAGTCCCCTCAGTGGTAAAGTCAGGGAGGAAATGGAGGACAAGGAGAAGTGACTGGGTAGGGAGGAAATGAGAGGCTGAGGGAACACACGGGTTTAATCCTATCTCTCCCATACTGTACAGGAAACAGGCTGGCCTGAGCAATAAAGAGGGTTTTCTTTCTTTTTTTTTTGTTTTGAGACAGGGTCTTACTTTGTAGTTCAGTCTGGCCTTAAACTAGCGGCGATCCTCCTGCCTCAGCCTCGTAAGTGCTGGGATTACAGGTATGTGCCACCATGCCCAGCTGTGTCTTAAGGAAGCAAACTGGACAGGAAATAGCAGGTTTAGGGGAAAAGAGTGGATGAATAGATACTGTATTAGTCACCAAATGTCTTTTGGTGTTCTAGGAAATTTGGATCACTTAATAGAACACAGGCTTGTTAAATTCTTAGAAGTTGGATTTAATTTTTATTGAGGACCCACTGTAGTCTACACACTTCACATACCATATATTAGTTCATTTCCCTCTTCATAACATAAATGCTATTTATTCTTATACAAATGACCATAGTGGGAAATATGAAGATTAAGAAACTAACTAAAGGATATATAACTAGTAAAACGGTGAAAGCGAAATTCAAAGATAAGCCTGTTTCTGCAAAAATGATACGCCTTTTCTACAATACCAATACTGACTTAAATTTCAGGATTTAGTCTAATACGTTTAACCATATTATAGCTGTCAAAGGAATCTATTTTCAGTTAGTACAAGAAAAAGGTACACTGCACAAAAAGGAATCCAGTACAAGAGTGGAAAGATAGATCAGCAAAACTACAAAGATTTAAACATTATAAATTATTTTCAAAAACCTATCAGTGTCTAAACTTTCAATATTTTTTTTTTCATATTATTTCTTACGGAAAACAGAGGCTTCTGATATTCTAATAGATTTGGGATCAATTATTGCAGTAATAATGCATATGGGCTTTCTTCCTTGTCAAAAATATGAAAATAGTAAGTTTTTCATTTCAAAGTAACTTTGCTAGAAAGTAGCACCTAAGCTAATTAAATTCCTAGAATGTTTCATTTTAAGCAGTTCTATGTCCTTAAAAGGTGTGAAACAGCACCTAAGAAGTTTACAGCATGTATTTTCCATCAGCATAAAGAATCAATTAGAAGAGTTACATTATAGGTAATGCTCCATTGGTTGTATTTTTTGAGAAAGGTTCTTCAGTTTCTTTAGGTTTTATTCAGTGTCCATAGAATTAATTTTATTTAAAACAATTTAAAGTGAAAATATTATCTTACAATATATTCTAGGATATTATATATAATATAATATATAAAAATAAAAATATCGTGTAATAAAAATATTGTGTAATTAATAAAAGTATATTATTGGTTTCCTAAAAAAGTTATTTGGGATAAGTGAAAGCTGTGGATATCTGGAATAAAATCTTAAGAGTTCTTAATATTGACTATGATGTCATTACATTTTGACTCCCCTTTCAAAGACTTTCATATTCTCTATGCTTTCTGCTTTAAGGAAGCAAGAAAATTTTAAGTTACATAATTGAACTTTACTGAAGTCATCATGCATTAAGAAAATCTGGATTTAGGAAACAAATCTAATGAAGGTTTGTTTACATTACTGAAGGCTGTCTCTATTATACAATGTAAATAAACATTCAAGTTACTGAACAAACTAACTCATTAAAACTAAGAATACTTCTGACTTAAAAATAATCAAATTTCTTCCCCTATACAAATCCACCCCAAACTATGACTCGGAACACCTGTAATATAGGTTAGACAAACTTCCCGTGAACAGAAACATTTTGCACATCAGCATATTTGTAAGGAACTGAGGCACAACAGACTAACATCAACCAAAATGTCGGTCAAACATACACCGTAAACCCACGTTAAATTTTCGTTCCCAAAGTGTCAACGGAAATTTCTTTTTAAGAGAACTGCCAGTCACATGTCCAGAGGAAAAAAGCGAGCTTGGGGACTTCAAAATGAAGCGCCACCTAACTTCAGGGTCAAATACTGACAAGGAGCGTTAAGGAAAATCACTGTTCATCAATATTTCATCAGACGCTTTGGAAGTGAAAGAAATCTCCAGACAAGCACTTAGCCCTGTCCCCAGCCTTCAGGCAGGAGAGATCTAATCCCCAGGAATACAGCCTCTGCCTTTAGATACCATTTATGTGTGCACGTTTGTGTGTAAAGGCCTACAATGGCCCTAGAGATAAGCTCATTGCCTGCCTATATATATATATATATATATATATTAATTTTTTTTTTTTTTTTACTAGAGCAAAAAGAACGATACAATCTTCCTTGGCCCAGGAAGGCAGGCCTGGGGATCCCCGCCGCCTTCCCCCGACGCGAAGTCCTGGTCAGCTGCCAGGACTCCGGGAGCAGGCTAGGCGTCCCCGTGGGTTCTATGGAAACCAGGGACGCGGGCGGCCTAGGGCTCTACAGGGTGGCCCGGGCTGTGGCGCTGCGGGGCGGAAGGCGACCCGCGCGGGCTCCGAGCGCAGCGAGTGGGGAAGGTGGGAACAGAGGCGGCTGGAGAAAGCGCGACAAACAGGTGTCCCTGCCGCCCGCCCCCGTCCCTTCGGGTCGGGGACGGCAGAAACTTCGGTGGCATGGCCTGGGGAAGAAACATCCCCAGAAGCAGGGACACTGTCTTCGGAGCTGAAGTCCTTTACCTTCCAGGCCGAAGTGTTACAGCTGCTTCCCTCGGGTAGCGGCGCTAACGCGAGCGAGGACTGCCGCAGCACAGCTCGCCACTTCAGGGCTCCACTAATCCGGGCTCTGGGAAATAATTTCCCGCCGCGCGCTCGGCCGAACCGGAAGCAGTTGTGCCATTTCCGGGTGGTTGTCAGTGACGCTCTGGAGCCGTCGCCAGGTAGCCTAAAGGGGTGCAGGGCTTGGCTCTGGCGGGCGGGTCAGGCTCCTGCTGGGTCTGTGCCGGAGGTGGGAGACCGGTAAGTTGGTTTTCTGGGTTGACTCCTGGGCTCGTATTTCCGGTGAGGCTCGGCGCGCAGGATTTTGGCTGGACCGAGAAGTGAGCCGGAAAGGGTTGAACCGGGAGTCCCCATCCATCCCCGGGGCTCTTGACCCTTCTTGTGGCTGGAGAAGGCCCTTGGATTTCGGCTTACCGGGTATTCCACTCGCAGCCTCTGTGCCAACTTGGAACTCGGTCTTGGGTCCCCCAAGAGTCCCTAGGCGAGGCCGAAGGCACTGTGTACCGCCACTGTGGTTGTGCCCAATCTTCTAAAGAGTCTCCCATTGCCAAGGTTTGGTCACCTCCGATTCTCCAGAGCTGCTTCTCTATGCTTTTCCCGAGTACTGTTTCCGTAGTTCTGGAGGGCTGCTGTGCTGGGAGGCAGCAGCAGTTGGCTGAAGAGTACCTTTTACCAACATGGGGCCGGGTGTGGGGGAAGTTGTTTCTCAACTGGAATGAATTGAATTTTTCTACTGCAGTTTGAATTAACTGAGGAGAATAGGCCTTTTTTTTCGTAGCTGCTATGAACTAGTGAGATATGATAACCGTATATAATATGCTTAGGATTTAGATCCACGTTTTACCTTCCAAAAGTATTTTCACAAAGGAATACTGACTTTACTCCAGGTTTCTCAATAATGAAGGATTCAGGAGAATTTTGTTTGGCAGTTTAAGGTAGCTTGAATAATTGTAAAGAGAAATCGCTTCTGACAAAGGGATAAAGTGAAGAAAAGTGCTCATTTATTCAGAGAATTGAAACGTGTGATGTAGTGACCTTGGCGACTTCTCTCCTTTTTGGGTAATGAAGCTTCTCCTTGTAAATAGTTCTCACTCACCACCTTGTGTTTCACTAACCACCTTTCCCCCCATAAAAGACATCTGATTGGTTTTCTTGAAACAGCCCATTCCAAAAAGAGAACTAGGAACTTTTATAGAGTAAGGCATCAGACAGGTTTCTTCCTACCTTTTGAGAGTAATGCAACCATTCTTAGGACAGCACATTGATCTTTCTAACCTCCTGGTTGGTTAATAATTCAACAAGCTTTTATGATATTCTATCCAAATATTGCCATTTTTAATCATGTTTTTTCTTTGGTTCTTCATTTGAAAATTCTTTCAGGGGGATTACATGTTATTTTCTTATAGCAGTTGTTTTTTAGACAGACAGGGATTTTCTTTTTATTACTGTTCTTGATTTCTCCATTCAAATTAATCAAATCAGCCATTTTTACTTACCTCAATTGTCTACTATCAACCATTTACATTTTTCATTTTATTTAGTGCTTGATTAAAAAAGAAAAAAAAAATTACATATTTTCTGGACATTTTATACTGACACTTAAAGAAGTGGTAATTTCTCCCACATTATGCAATTTAGAGGCATAATTGAGATTTGAATCCAGTTATTTGAATGACTATAACCATTGGCTCTAATCTGTACTTCCTCTCATAAATAAATATTATAGAATCATTCTTTTCACTCTCAGGCAAAATTGGATAAATATTTATGTCACATTTAGAAGTCAGTGTAAAGGAAAACTTGAAGATAAAGTAATTTAAGGAGTGTTCATTACCATAGGAAATTTTTACATGTGAATAATGTAATTTCTTTTCTTCATTTACCCTTGGCCACTTATCCTACCTCAGGTGCCTGTAGTGTACATGAGCATAAAACTAGGGACAAAACCAAAAGACATGGAGACCAGCAACATATTAGTGATTTTTAAGTCGAGTGTCAGCTATCTTCAAAGGCAGCTTTTCACATATGTGTTTGTATGTATGTGTGTGTGGTGTGTTGTGGAGAGAGTGAATAAGCACAAATTCATATTTTAAGGAATTATTTACTGATTATTAGCAGGACTTTTCTTCTTGACTGTAGCTTGCAGGCAGATGATAATTATTACACATCTTAAAGTAGCATGTTAATCTTGCCCATTCTAATATCTTATATTGAGAACTAGAAATAGCCTAATTTAAGTGAGTCCACTAAAATTTAATCTAACCAATACCATAAATGACATAGAATTTAAAAAATATCCTGTTCTACAGAAAGACACTATACGTATACAACTAATCTCAAATACTGACATGTATTTAATTACATTCCAATGACTTAATTATATACTTGCTTTTGCATATCCCATAGGAAGAGCTCAGAGATATTTTGCTTTCTATCAAATTTTAGGGCTTACGAAGGTTCATATTATATCCATCTTTTCAGCATCTAGCACTGTACCTACTATGTAGTAGAAGCTCAATAAACATTTGTTGGTTGAATATTCGTTTTTGCCTACCAAAGTGTTTGTACATGTAAAAGTCTACAACAAAAAGTATTTGAACATGTATTGTTTTAAAAGGACTTACCACATAAATAAATGAATGCTTATTTATTATTACTCACCTTGACTCTTCAATGTGATGTCCACTCCACACTCATCCATAAGGGGAGGATGGTATCCTGCAAAGAAGGCTGGACAGAGACATGAGATGAAGGAATATCTAATATTGATTGAGTGCTTACCCTGTACTATGCAGTGTAATATTTAGTTTTCCCGGAACTATTGGGTAAGTATTATTTTCCTTTTTAAAGTTGAGAAAACTAAGGCAAAGGTTAAGCTTTGTAATTTGGCATAGTTTACACACAGTCATTAAGTACTAACGCTGTGATTTGGACAGCTGCATCTAATTCCAAAGGCCTTATCTTAGTCCCATTACTATCCCTCCACCAGTTGCTTTTTACTCCTAGCTCAACTACTTAATGTGTGAAGGGCAATGTATTTCTCGTCTATAATTTAGGGGTCAGATTAGGTAATCTGTAAAGTCCCTACCACCTCTAAAATCCCCTGATTTTAGTTTTCTCCTAAGCATTATGTCACAGATCTAGTGTACCAGAAAACCTTCAAGTGGAGCTTTACATGTGTTTGTGTCTTCATTGGTTAACACACAACTGTGTTTTTGTAATGGAAAGAACAAACCAGAGTTTTACAAAATCTCAGCTGTTCATTTTTACCAGCATCTGACACTAATAAGTGACAGAACCTTTTGGAGGTTGTGTTTTTATATGTAAAATGGATCCACAGAATTGCTTTGAGACTTATGTGAGTTGATATATACAAAGCCCAAACATATTGCCCAACAGAGTTGCCATTAAGTAAATACAGACTTTCTTTCTACCTTGATCTTGTGAGGATAAAAGATTGGTGGATATAAAAATGCTTCATTGATTAGGCAAGGGTAAAGAATCTTTCCACAAATAGTCTACTATGAGAGATAAAGTTATATACACAAGCAGTTAATTAAGGGACAATTTACAAACTTTGTTGATCACAAAACATAAAGGAATATAGAGAAATTAAGTTTTGCTTCCAGGAGGGCAGATGAGAAAGACTTGATGAGGAAGGTGTGTTGTGTGTGGGCCTGCAAGGATGGTGAAGATTTTGACGAGGATCACAGAAGAGAATTAGTAACTTTATTGCTGGATATGTGGGATGGTGAAGGTTAATAATCAAGCTAAAGTAGGGTAAGCTGTGCATAACAGTGTGACTGTGTTGAAGATGTTAGGCTTTCCCAGTAAGCAATAATTTGTATAACCAAGATGGGGTAGAGAGTGGAATGAGAGTTTGTTTTCTTTGTTTTGGAAAAATATCCACTTGTTACAGACATGTTAAGAGTATACAAATAATCTAAAAAGAAAAATGAAATGAAAAATTGCCATAATCTCACCACTCAGGAATACTCATCATATTTTCTCTACATTCTTACAAACATTTTGTATTTTTTAAATAAAAATGTTCTAATCCTCTACCTCTTTTCTTGTGAACCGATTTTTTTCCATGTGGATATACCATGAATTTTTCCATATTGATAAACTTACTTCTATGAAATGTTTTCAGGACTTACATACTGTTCAGTTTTTTTTTGTTTTTGTTTTTGTTTTGGTACTGGGGATCAAACTTGGGACCTTGTACTTGCAAGGCAGGCTCCGGAACCACTGAGGTAAATCCCCGGCCCATACTGTTCAGTTTATGGATGTATTGTAACTTTCCAACTGACATCCTGCTGTTAAATAAAGGTACAATAAAAGCTGTTATAAAACAGTCTGACATATATATATATATATGTGTATATATATTTCTTTGTTACAAATTATAGGACAAATGATAATTGGTGGGTCATATACACTTGTCGTGATGTACATTGACAAATTATTTGTTTTTAATGAGGATATTTAAAGTTGACACAGAATTGAGAAGATATGAAAGGGCATGTAAAGAAGAGACAATATCTTCCCCTCCCTCTTTTGCCCTCCTGAATTACAGCTAGTCCAAACAGCAGTTTGTATGAATGAGTACAAGGCAGTGTCTTCTGGAAGGCATCCTTTCCTGTCCAGTGACAGCCATGGCGGACATATAGCTAGGCAACCAAAGTATAAGCTAGATTTTAGCCCCTACTTAACCCCTGGTTTGGGTATTTGTACACATGGCACAACTTGCATAACCCATGAGCTAGCCCAGCCATAATGTTTTCTTTTCCAGAGGCACCCAGTATGACCGGTTTCTTTTGAATCCTTAAAAGTATGACTTGCCTTCATCGGATCTTGGCTCCACATAATCATCTTTCATCCCCTCCCTTGTATGGGTGACTGTGTATGGGTATATCTTTAGGTATGTAAGACCTTGGCACATTACTATGTTTTTACAGAGAGCATTGAATCAAGAAAAGAAGGGTGAATCAAACAAGACTATGGAGCATGCGGTCAGCTTCCCCTCATGGACAGGTGGGATGGCCATGCTAAATGCTCAACTTTATCTTAGCTTCTCTTAACCTTTTAAGCACTTCAGGGGGCTGACAAAAGCAACCCATAAGCACATTGCATTTGGTAGTGAGGTGGGAAGCTTCAGATGAGTATCAGGTTAGGCAACACAGTATAATGTAAACAGTTAAATTCAGGGGAGAACTGGATATGAGCTCAAGCTTATG